TGAAATATATATATATATATATATATATATATATATATATATATATATATATATATATATATATATATATATATATGCTGTCAAACGATTAATCGCTATTAATCGCATACAAAATATAAGTTTTTGTTTGCATAATATATGAGTGTGTTCTGTGTATATTATGTATATATAAATGCACACACATACAGTATATATTTTGAAAATATTTACATGTCTGTTTTTATATTCGTATAATTTATATTATAAATAAATATATACATGCATGAGTGTATTTACATAATAAATAAGACAGCACACATGCATATATTGCGTAAACAAAAACTTTCGGATGCGATTAATCGCGATTAATCGTTTTACAATAATATATGACCATTATTTAAGGTTATGTAGGGCTTCAGTCCCTTTGCAAATTATCAGAAGTAAGTGAATGTGAGGATATTTTCGGTTCGTGGAGACAAACAACAAACACTAAGGTTTCAGGTGTATAATCGCGTGTATATCTTCTATATCAGGTTTCAAACCAGCTTGGCACTGTGAACATATTGTGTTGAGAGTTTGAGAACGCCTGGCCTCTGGCTGTTGTCCTCGTACAGTAAAATGCGGATGTAAGACTTGACGAAAGCAAACACCTCAATGCCACACTGTATCGTGATGATCTCGACCAGCTCCAGGAGACCCGAAGCCCGGTTTACACGCACGAGGAAATGAAAAGTGTTTACGATACCTGGGATACCTACAATTCACTTTGAAAGGGTTGGTCTGTTTGCGTCTTGACATATTATCCCCCGCTCCCGGATAAAAAAAAAGTCCAATCTCGTCTTTGATCCGACTGATGTGGAGATGCTTTCGGCCGATCCGAAGGTGAATGTATTAAAGCAGAAAACAATCCAGCGAACAGAACGGGCAGAACTGCGCACTAGACGGCTACATTGGCCGGCGCGCTTAGGTTCATTTGAATAAAAGTGAATTAAAAATCACTTTTGCGCAAACGGGCATCTTGGCGATGAGAGCGAGTTCATGTCGCTAGAGCTCGGTTTCCAAACATAAGAGACCGGGGGGAGACGATGTGAAAGCCTGCGCCACTGCAGAGACTCTCCACCTACATGCATTTCAAGCGCTGAGCTGAAGTGAGAAGAATAACTCGTGTAATCATGTAATACGCGAATGCTCCTACAGAGGGCGCGCTGCGGCTCACTAAACCCACTTGCCCATTAAAATGCATTGACGTGTTTTGTCTATATCTGTCAAAGTGTAAACGTTATCATTGATATACTCTAACTTTGAATGGTTTGCACTTCATATGCAAAGGAAAGAAGGTCGCAGCATGTTTTGCGGCATTGGATTTTCCAAGTCAGCGGTGATTGGTTCATCCTCAACAGCGCTGAGAAAAGTAACAAGCCGGCACGTGTTAGTCCTCGCGTTTAAACTGAACTATAACACCGAGAAAAGGTTACATATTTCAATTCAGTGGGTACAGTTTTGAAGCCATTATAAAAACCTCTTGTGCTGTACTCAAAAGGGATTTTTTAGACACAAAAATACTTGCGCTGATAGAAAATCTGATTGTTGCACGTGTGATGAATAGCTGTTGCAAGTTAAATGGGTTTTAAGGAGCAAATAAAGTTGTACCTGCCTGAGGAACTTCGCGTATTTGACCACTTGGGGATTACTTCCTAGCCGTTTTTCTTCCCCACCCCTTTAAATCACAATTGTGTGCAAATCACCTTTCTAGCAGTTTTTCCATTTCTATGATTGTAAGCCTGTTTGGTTTGTAGGAAACAACGAGACGCATTGTGAGATACACTTACGTGGATGTGGAGTACAAAGCTGTTTTTCCTATCATCTATCTATCATCATCCTATCTATCTATCTGTCTATCTGTCTGTCTGTATCTATCTATCTATCTGTCTGTCTATATCTCCCCCGCCCAAATGTTCACACAAAGAAAGAAGGCGTAACTTTTATTCTCGCTGTAGTATTGTTGACGCTGCAGCCATGTCCTGAAGACGCTGTGTGTTTCGTTGTGAAAGAGAAACTACCTTTTTTGTTCTTCCAAAAGAGATGCCTAGAGCTGATCTGTGCTGGTTTCTGAGGGAAAGCGCTCTGATTGTTTTTGTTGTAGAATACGATAGGGGATATATTCACACGTTATAAAACTGAAAAAGGATGGTGTATAAAATTGATTTTAAGATAAAAAATTAGACGACAAAGAATTAACTTGACGGAGCTCAAACTCAAACCACACTGCAGCAACAAACAGGAAGTATATATGACCCCTTTAAATATAGAGTAGAGTGGGGTTAAACGCCCCCTTGGGGTGAAATGCAGCACTACTGTTTTTCCCAAAATATCCACTAGATCAAGTCAAGATACATTTGTGTTGTTACTGTGGCCTGCGTTGACAAGAGTGATGGAGAAGTATGACCATGAAGCTTACACCGGTGATGTACCGGAGACAAAAAGGATTACACAGTAATTTTCAGCAGTAAGAAAGGACGTTTTTTTTAAGCTTGTTGTTTTGTAGAACATCACAGATATGTAGCCCATGACATGAGAATAGTAAGGCCTGTAGATAGGGGGTGTATGTGTTATTTAAGAAAAATATAATTATATTTTTAGAATGACATTTTTTTTTTTCCAAACCTAGTCTGTTGGGTAAAACCTTGGCTTCATTACGGTAGTTACTCTGTCCTGAACATCAAATCCTTTGTTTTTCCATCAAATGTACTGTATTTTAACTAGTTCGTTGAATAAAAACATTTGAACTTTATATTTAAAAATTGCCTCAGGTTAGCATCAGGTAGCTAGTTAGCTAGCAATATTTTTCAAATAGGCTATAATAATTTTGTAATTCATATAGATGATGTGTTTAATTTTAAGTTAAAACTCCCTGTACTCTAATTTTGCTGTAAATGTATAAAGCAAATTGCTTCGTCAGACTGGCGGCATTTTACCCCACCTGTGAGGCAAAACGTACCAATTGAATTCTTGTTAAAAATCTAATAACATATTATTAATATTCTGTGAAACACACACACACATATATATATAAATGACTGTCTTGTTCCAATATATTTTAGGAAGACAGCTAGGTCATCATATTTGGGTGTCCTTGGCATCAGTTCCTGTTCTAGAGGTACTGATCATTACGACACTTGTTAGAAACCTCTGTAGTGCCAAACTTCAGCGCAAAATCACTCCTCAGGTCGACCGAACGACCCCTGGCTTACTGAGGAGAACCAGTTCAGTGACTCCACAGGAAGTGCCACAACACCAGTGTTGCCAGGTCCGCGGTTTTCCCACGGAATTGGGCTACTTTAAAGGGGTCCTATTATGCTCTTTTACAAAGTCTTGATTTTGTTTTGGGGGTGTACTAGAACATGCTCTCATGCTTGGTGCAAACAAAGGCGTTTGGGCACGGAGGTGAAAAAAAAACAGCGTTTCAGGCGGTCGCACACCGGACGAGATGCGCAGCGTCGCGCCACGCCTTTAAAATTCAAATACATTATTTTCTATGAGTGTAGGCACACCGGCGGCGCCCAGCTACGTCATGTTGTACTTGTAAGAATTGTTCTAGACATGCCGACAATTTGACGCTACAGCACAGCAGCTCTTTTTCTTGGTTTTCTCTGATGCACTAACTCTGCAGCAGCTCTTCTTCGTCGTCGTCGTCGTCTCGTCTGATGCGCGCACTCAACCAAGCGCTCTAACCACAACCTCGCCCCTCCCCAACCATTAGAATTTCTGTAGGCGGGAATTATTTGTAATGATATTCTAATGAGCCGCTTTGTGACATCACAAAGCCCGGAAACCGAACGCTGTAGTCCAAACGAGCCGTTCGTTGTAGTTCTTGAAAAGGGATTTTTTTTTAAAACTAAATATCTCCCTTTGGAGTGGACTTTGAGATTTGTAACTTTCTAGATCTTTTTAATGCCCAAAACATACACACTACACACCGACTAAAATTAAAAAAGCATAATAGGACAGTGTTAATAACACTGTTGCCGCAGGATGTTTTTCATGTCCGCAGGTTGAAGCGACCCCAATAACTTGATATTTAACCCTGGAATGCGACTTTTACCTGGGAAACCCCACCAAAAAATGTGCATGTTACCTTTACCGGGATCGCCCCTGAAAAGCAATTGGGCTAGCTTTAAATAGCAATTGGGCGGGTTTTTGCTGTGAAAACCTGGCAACCCTCACTGACTGCCACGAGGTGAGAGAGGCGCGGGCCGCAGCACGGCTCTTTGGGCAAGTCATCCGCCGGAGTGACACGTAGCCTAGCTTTACAACACAACTACACTCCACTGACATAAAACGAGGTGCACAGTATCACGCGTTTCCCAGCGAACACAGCTTGGGAGCCTCTTGCTATATGACTTTAAAATAAACCACGTCAATGCAAGCCATTTGACCGCATTTTTACATTCACAATCTTTTTTTAACGCAAGCTCACAAGCATAAGGTGGCGCCTCCTCACATCCGCATTTGAAGTTCTGAACACCAGTCATGTATCCCTCCGCCTGCGGTAGAAGTGCTGAGGCTGGGACCGCCGCCATTTTGAATGTCTGGTCCGTTCCTCCTTCCGTCGGTTGAGAAGATTGCACCTGTTTTCTGGTATCGTAACGGCTGGTGAGTGGGAGCTTATTTTAACCGACTGAACGACCGTCGAGCTCGGAGCTGTCAAGCCGCTCGGTTGCATTTTCGCCGACTCTTGGGCTGTATTGGAAGTGCAGCGCGCAGGCTAATGCTAGCGGCAGCTCGCACCGGGGCGCTAACGGTCGCCGCTCGCTAAACTATCGCTCGGGCTGCACGTCCACGGGCGGCGTGAAATTGCAGTTAGACTGTAGTTTGTGAACGTTTCGGTGGGTTTAAAGCAGAGGTGTGCGTTTAATCCTCCGCCAGATCGACGCTCGATTTGAGGCCTGACTCGCGTTAGACTCGGACGCAACGGACACGCTCAGCGCTTCATCTACCGAGCAATAACAGAGGTATTTACTGCTGTTTAAAGGGCTTAGAAAGGGTATTAACTGCGAACTTTACCAGAGCGTGATGTTCTGTCATCTCACTCTTTATCAGTTAGCTTAGCACGAAGCGCTTGACGTTGTAGCGCAAGCGGGTCCAGAAACATGAAAACCTTCAACAGTCTCTTTTAATTGTACCGAATAAGCCGTCAGGGTGTTTTTTTAGGTTAGTGTAGTGAGAAAGGTGAAGAATGCGAGGTGTGTGATGCCACTTGGTGTGTGTTTTAGGCTTGTTTAGTCACCAGGTGGTTTCGAGGGAGATGTTCAGTCGTTCATGTTGTTGTGCTTCGTAGTACTCTCTATATCAGGGGTGCCCAACCCTGGTCCTCGAGGCTTAAATGAGGCCAATCGAGGCATAGGTTTAAGTAACGTCTTTCAATGCTATGTAATTTTAATGCAGAGAGTAGCCATGGCAGCTCCAGTAGATCTTCAGATGAACCGATGAGCTCATTTCTTTATCATACATCAGCCCTAAATTATTTCTTTATAGCTAGACTTCCTTAGTGTCTTGTCCATGCACTGATGCTCTTAAACTTTCCACTATATTATGAGATTCTCAGTTATAAAGTTGACAGTATAAAGGTATTTTTTTCCCCCCTTTTTTTATATTTTATTTTTATTTTTTTACTGTGAATAATGGGCAGTGTGATGCAAGCCGTTTTAACAGTTCTTTACACCTAAATAGTATCTTTTTCAAATGTAGTCCCACTCTTAATTTTTTATTTATTTCTGCTTTAGAGCACCACTACTCACTGGGGCAGTCCACCAAGATCGATATATTACCAGTATTGATGCTACTAGTTCTACTAGTTGTTGTTTTTATTACTACAAAATCCAATAGTGACTAGTGTATTTTTCTTTCTGCTTGTGGTTTATTACTTAATTACTAGTAAGTAGTGATGCACTGAAATTTTGGCAAATGAAGATATTCAGCCAAAATGGAGAAAACGTTAATTTTCGTTTTCTGCTGAAATGGTTTTGGAGGTCAGAAATCATTTAGCAAGCAACAAGCAATTGGTAGTATTCAAATACAGAAATGTAGTAGTTTGGGAAAATAACACTGTATAGTGTTCACTGTATAAATTAATTATAGATTTTTATCACAGCTATTTTGTTGTTTGATCATTAATGACAGCAGCAGTATTTATAGGCCGCTGTCCCTTTAAGACCTGATACACGGATCCGATATAATGATACACATCTCATCCGATTTCTTTCTTAGCTGTTTTCACAAGTTTAAACATGATTAAAGAGACGAGAACAGCCAGTAAAAATAAGAACAAAAACACAAATTACAAGCATAGATAAATACAACAGAATATGTTACAAATAAAATAAGGTTGGTAGTATTCAAATACAGAAATGTAGTAATTTGGGAAAATAACACCGTATAGTGTTCACTGTATAAATTAAATATAGATTTTTATCCCAGCCGTTTTGTTGTTTGATCATTAATGACAGCAGCAGTATTTATAGGCTGCTGTCCCTTTAAGACCTGATACACGGATCCGATCTCATCCGATTTCTTTCTCAGCTGTTTTCATTAACTTGAGACATAACTGACTGTGTTTACCTGAATGATTGTCGAAATGGGTATTTTGTCATAATTTTATGTGCATGTGTCTGTTCAGAGGATTCAGAAGAGGATTCAGCTCGGTGTTCGCTCGCTGTCTCGCTTCATGTGTGCGCGGCTGTGCGCGCGAGTAACGAATCGAGTTCCCTTTCGCCTTTTCTCTCTGGAATTGTTTAAAATTCGCTTGCTTGTGTAAATATGAACAAATGATAAACTTATACTCTATTATGGTTAAATTTTGCAATTAATCCACGGATCACATGCGTGCCGAACCATGGGGCTTGCTCCGTACGGATGACGGATCAACTACGATCCGTTTAACCACTAATGGCCAGGATTCACAGTGTTTGGATGCCAGCTCGTTGGATGTGGAAAACCCATCTTGTGTTTCTCTGTTTTGAACGCAGACTCCATTTTAAAACCAGGGTGAGTAGCTCAGTGGCAGGAGAATAAGGCTGGTAGTATTTAAATACAGAAACGTAATATTTAGGGAAATAACACTGCATAGTGTTCACTGTATAAATTAAATATCGATTTTTATCACAGCTGTTTTGTTGTTTGATGATCATTAATGACAGCAGCAAAAAAAATCAAAATATTATGTGTATGTGTCTGTTCAGAGGATTCAGTTCGGTGTTCATGCGCGCTTCATGTGTGTGCGGCTGTGCGCGTGAGTAACGAATCGAGTTCCCTTTCGCCTTTTCTCTCTGGAATTGTTTAAAATTCGCTTGCTTGTGTAAATATGAACAAATGATAAACTTATACTCTATTATGGTTAAATTTTGCAATTAATCCACGGATCACATGCGTGCCGAACCGTGGGGCTTGCTCCGTACAGATCACGGATCAACTATGATCCGTTTAACCACTAATGGCCAGGATTCACAGTGTTTGGATGCCAGCTCGTTGAATGTGGAAAACCCATCTTGTGTTTCTCTGTTTTGAACGCAGACTCCCATTACATTTTAAAACCAGGGTGAGTAGCTCAGTGGCAGGAGCCGTACCGGGAACCCCCCCCCCCCCCAACCAGGAGTTATAAGAACTGTCTTGTTTGCAGCTTAAGTTAAGCCAGGGCTGCTAATTGCCCTTAGCCTTAGCCCTCGATTCGTTGTTTGCTAATGCTAACATAGTGCCAAGTAAGCTGAAGAGGCACTTAGAAATCAAGCATCCCTTCCTCAAAGAAAGAAGACTTGGCTTTCATCGAACTGGCAGAAGACCAAGAACTGTGTGAAGTGTGTGAAGGCATCTGACACAATACAAGAGGCTAGTTACTTATTGCTGGAGCTTACTGAAGTGGAAAAAATGTGACAGCCGAGACACTGGTTTGAGTGTGTCTAAAAGAAACAAACAAACAATTTTACTTCTGACTGTAATATTTCATTTTTAAAAAAGTGGTCCAATTCAAATCTCAAATTACATTGACATCTCTCAAGCCCTAATTTCTAATGACTTGAGAGATGTTCTTTTATAGTTAATATGTATGCAGCTTTTATGACCCCATATTAATTGAGAGACAAAATTAAATATTTGTACTGCATTTTTCATACATAAGGGCCATTCCGAATTAAATAGTGAAGGCAAAGGTGTTTAAAATAGGGAAAGAGTGTACGTATCGCAAGACCTAAAGATTCATATCAGGTTTAAGCAACATTATTGATGTTAATTAAAAGTCCTTTGATTATGCCCATTTATTATAGTTTTTTTTCAAAATATAGAGGCTGCACAATATCTTTTATACAATATTTTAAACTAGTTTTGCAGACATTATAGCAGTAAAGAGTCATATTAACGATAGCAAGAATATCAGTTTCTGACCTTTCTTTGAATTTCTGTTTTGAAAACCATAAGAATGGAAGTGTTTTTAGCAAAACTGTGAACTTGAGATAAAGGCCACTACATGTTTTATTCCTTGGAATAACACTTTGCTTTTATCACATCATGCTTAATTGGACAATGACACTGCATATTTGTCATTGAATGCTCTTCTTTGCACTATCCATCCATTTGCAACCGGAACTTTTGTTGTTCTGCAGGGACATGCTGAGAATGTCTTTGTTTAGCAAGTAATTATGGTAGTTCATTTCAGGTTTGAGCAGCTTAATTAGGTGCTGCATGCTAACATATTTAAAGTGTGGGGCTCCTGTGTGATGGAGAGCCAAAAGCAGCTCTCATCTCTACATGGATGAAGGGAGGAATATTATCTTTGTGTTGCGTCTTGGCTCTGTATGCATGCATGTATGCGTGTGAGATGGATCTCCAGGTGTGATTTAATGTGCGTTCTCAGAGCAGTAAACCACTTGTAGTGCTCAGTCTTTCCAGTGCCAGTGATTACTGAATGCCATGTCCGTTCAACCTCAGTCTGCAGGATGAGTCATTTCCTGTTCAGTCTGTTTATGTACTCCATGTTCATATATTTAACTGCCACAAAGCTGGCCCCGCACATCCTACAACACCTTCCTACAATAATCCAGAGAGGTTTTTTGATGGATGAGCCTTCTCTTTCTATTAGCAGCCCCGTTTCACACCTTCCATGCTAATATCCCTCTAATTCTCACTGTTTATGAGCTGAAGATCGGTTTTCTTCTGTGTGGCAGCCTGGGAGGTGTTAGCTTGACCTCTACTTTGTGCTTTCTTTACCCTTGTATACGTTTTCTGCATTGTCATTAGCCTTCATTTGGGATGCTAATATATGTTTATTGGGTTTCTCTTTTGATTAGATGTCAGATGTAATTTTTGGAAAGCAAAAGATAACCAAATTAGCTTCAATATCTCAAAACTTTATTGCATAACCTCCCTCCTACTGTGAAGTCAAAGTTTCTTTCATGTGCCCTTTTCCGTTTTCTCCAGATGTTTGTGTTAGAGCTGGATTCATGTTGAATGTTGTGGAAATAGGCTCACGCAGCTGGGCATAAATAGGCAGTCATGTAATCTTACCACTTTGTATGTGCTCACTTTTAATTTTTAATCAGCCTCCAGTGGATTGAAACCTGATTCTGTTGAAGGAATGGAATTTCACAGGTGATTCCACCAGCTTGTCACATTGGCTGATGGAGCTGATTATGGCTATACTCTGATACGCCTTTTCCAGACTGACTGTCCCCATAGAAAAGATTGCCACATGTGCTAGTGAATTATGAGATGCTCGGCGTCCTTCGGGATTCTTAGACTGATCAAGAGAGTGCTCTGGGTTGTTGTGCTCAATTCATCTTGCAGAGCAAGAACGATTTCCCTATTTACATCATTAACATGGCAATGCTTCATTTAGATTTAACAACCGGTTGCTGTTGTGGACTATCTGTTAAAGCTAATTTATTAGTTAATATAACGAGAAATGCATGCATTTATATAAACGGAAATATCATTCATTAAGCCTGATATCTAAAAATGTCAACTTGACAGTGTTTAAAAACAAAGCACTTGTGGCAAGATGGTCCAAAAAAGTCTGGGATGCAACACAACAAAAGCTGGTCTGAAAGATTATGGATGTAGAGGATTTAAAGGGTCATGAAACTAGTGGTCGACTGATATGTGTTTTTTGACAGCCGATGCTGATATCTTGGAAAGCAGGGTGGCCGATATCATTTTATTTTAATTCATATTTAAGAAATTTTAAATCATTTGAAAATGGATTAAAATATAAACGTGTAAAATAAACATACTCACTCTAGAAGACAAAGTATTTTTCACAAATATTTAATAAAAATATAATTAAAAAGGAATTAAACAATGTAACCAACAGGGCACTCAGTATTCTGGGAAGTTTGTGTGCATTGGGAATCATATTTTTTCAAATAAAGCCAAGGTAACACTCATTTTACATACAGCACACAGTGAAAATGACATGAATATGACAGTGGGCAAATGCATAAAGCGCAGCATAATTTGAAATCAGTCACGAGTTTAAAGTTTGTCGATCACGCGTCTCCAGTGAAGCTGAACTCTCCTCCTGTCCGTATTCAATTCGCACGGACCATAAGACCGACCGTCACAGAACACGCGATCATGCAGGTCACATGCACACTTCACAAGATCTCTGCAAGGTTTGTGAAATTAAATGTTCATTAGTCATTCAAAGATTTGTTTAAATTATATAAATGCGTATTTGCGGAATGCTGACGGCAAACGAGAAAGTATTATAATGTTTGGCTTTAATAATATTAAAGCAATCATAATACTTTTGTTATATACATTTTATCTGATTATTAGTTCTTCTATACGTATTAGACAGAACTGAATGACAACAGCGAACAAGAGGGGGGGTGGGAGCATTGTGTGCTCAGGCGTTGCCGCAGCCGTTCTCGGCGCCATCAAAATAAAAGTCCTGCCTCGAACACATCGGCCAAACAGAAAAACTTATCGGCCAATGCCGATATTTGAAAAATGGCCAAGGCCGATATATCGGTCGACCACTACATGAAACCCCAGACTACTTTTTCTGAGATTTTAGCAGAGGTGTTTGTGTTGCACATCATAGAAGACAATGTTAGCATCCAATAATTTTAACTATTGGAGAAAACTGGTCAATTTTAAGCTTTTTTTTTGTGCTATTTTCATCTTCCGGGTTTAAAATCCACATCGTGTTGACATCACAAAGGGCTATAGTACATCGATGACGTGTCTTTTAAATTATTAATGAGACTGTGTGTTCTTATCCTATGAGAAGATGCTTCGCTTAATTATTCACAACAGCATGTGCTGATTTGCTATGACAGATGCTTCAGAGTATGAGATCGCGTACATTATCTGAGAGAAACATTCATGAATCAAAAGAGAGTTCATTGTAGAGTTCGGCACAAACGCGATTCATTCACTTAGTGAGTATAACCATTTTTACATTGCTCCATGATACAACCCGTCAAAAGGCTTATATGATCGCCGCAGAATAAGCCTTAAGTTATCAGAGGTGCAACAGCACGTTCATGTATTTTTTCGATATGGAGGGCAAATGGTTGTGAGTTTGTTTATTTGTGTTTTTAACTCGATGGTTTCATGGTCATTTGATCTCATGTTGCTCTGGCAAATGCAAGCATTGTATAAATCATAATTTGTCTTAGTGGCACATATATTGGTGCTGCTGTGACACTCCACTTGCTGACCTGTGCTTTCATTGCAGAGGATGCCAGCTCCGATCAGACTGCGGGAGCTGATCCGGACAATCCGGACGGCTCGAACCCAGGCCGAGGAGCGAGAGATGATCCAGAAAGAGTGTGCTGCCATTAGGTCATCCTTTAGAGAAGAGGACAACACATACCGCTGTAGAAATGTGGCTAAGCTCCTTTATATGCACATGTTGGGCTACCCGGCACACTTTGGCCAGGTGAGAAAACGGTATTTCAGAAATTACAGGAATCTTTAAAAGGGTTGCAAGAAGTGCCCACTTTCACAAGTGGCAAAATTTCATTTTCAGCTGGAGTGCCTGAAGCTGATTGCATCACAGAAATTCACGGACAAACGGATAGGATACCTGGGAGCCATGCTGCTCCTGGACGAGAGGCAGGACGTCCATCTATTAATGACGAACTGCATCAAGAAGTGAGTGAGCCGAGGATGTCATCTTGTCTCAACACTCTCATGAATCAACATCTGGCTGTGTGATTGGTGGGAGTTTAATGTGACACTTGTAGGTGGAGAGTGTAAAGTGCAGGATGATTGGGAGCTGCTTCCTCAGTGTGATGGCATTTTAAATTGCATTTCTTTCTTTGTTCCATTTAGTGTCTCTCAAGCATCTTATTGCACATCTTCATTTCTTAAAATAAAAAAAAGCCAAACCAGTCTGATGTTATTGTCATTATCTCAACAGATTTTCTTGGGCACGCAGATTTTACATTGAACGTCAAGTGGCGACCCAACTTGATACCAAAACTATGACTGAAAATGAAAATGTTCAATTTTGGTGTCTATTGCTTAAATTCGATCGTTTCATGCGCTCAGCAACCAATAACTTATAAAACACATTGTGGTCAGAACGAACCATGTTTTATGCGTTTTGGCAGATGCATTTATTTAATGTGACTTGCATTGCATTCAGTGTATACGTTTTTATCAGCTTGTGCGTTCCCTTGGAATTAAACTCATGACCTTGGTGTTGCTACCACCATGTAACATTCCTGTAGTTCAAACAGTTGAGCATGTAATTTCCTACTTTTGTTGAAAATGAATGACTTTGTTCGTCCACGGTGAAAGCCGATCCAACAATACTACAGCGGTTACTGAAACCACGCCTTCTTTCTTTGCGTGAACATTTGGACCGCATTATGCAAATATTTCCACATGGTGAGGTAGATATGTGGTAGGGGTCGACCGATATGTGTTTTTCAAGGCCGATGCCGATTATTACAGATCAAGTAGACCGATAACCGATATATATGTCTGGTGTAAAAATTAAAATTAATATCAAAATTAAGAATAACAAGGGCTCTGACAAAAACTGCCTTCCCTGGTGTTGGTTGAATGTAGTACTCCCACAGTAAACTCTTTATTTTAAAGAGTTAAACTCTTTATTTTTTGGCAAACAAAGGGTTTACCATTAAAATTTAAACATGGAAGAAATAGTGTATTGTGTGATTATTCTTTTAAACAAAAGTTGTAATTGTTGTAGTAGTCGGGTTAAAGCAAAAAAAAATCTTTTGACTGAAAATTTTTCCTCGTCCAAACCCCATTCCTCAGCCATACCTGTCACACACCCAGTTTAAGAGCAGTGTTTTTCTTCTTGTAGTCAAGAGTGCTTGTCCTCCTAATTTAAATAAATTAAGGAGCACCTTCTGATTAAT